TGTCTGTTGACATGTTGAATGTGGATTACACATTAATAAAATACAGTACCAGTCAAAGTTTTGAACAAACCTTTTTTCATTCAATTGAATGAAATAATGTCTCAACTTTTGGCTGGTACTATACAGTGTTTAATTCTAATTATTTTACAGTAATACCAATTGTGAGCAGATCCGCAGTCGGGTGGGTTCAAAGACACGTCCCGATGAAGTCCTGGGGATCTACAGAGAGAGATGAAGAAGAACGGTAGTATGTATGTTAGTGTGTTTGTCTATGTTAGTGTGTCTATGTTAGTGTGTCTGTGTCTATGTTGGTGTGTCTGTGTGTTTGTCTATGTTAGTGTGTCTATGTTAGTGTGTCTGTGTCTATGTTGGTGTGTCTGTGTGTTTGTCTATGTTAGTGTGTTTGTCTATGTTGGTGTGTCTGTGTCTATGTTGGTGTGTTTGTCTACGTTGGTGTGTCTGTGTTAGTGTGTCTGTGTCTATGTTGGTGTGTCTGTGTGTCTGTCTATGTTAGTGTGTCTGTCTATGTTGGTGTGTTTGTCTATGTTAGTGTGTGTATTTGTCTATGTTGGTGTGTCTGCGTTAGTGTGTCTGTGTCTATGTTGGTGTGTCTGAGTGTTTGTCTATGCTGGTGTGTCGGTGTTTTTGTCTATGCTAGTGTGTTTGTCTATGTTGGTGTGTCTGTGTCTATGTTGGTGTGTCTGTGTGTTTGTCTATGTTAGTGTGTTTGTCTATGTTGGTGTGTCTGTGCGTCTGTGTCTGTATCTATGTTTGTGTGTTTGTCTATGTTGGTGTGTCTATGTTAGTGTGTCTGTGTGTTTGTCTATGTTGGTGTGTGTGTGTCTGTGACTATGTGTGTTTGTCTATGTTAGTGTGTCTGTGTGTTTGTCTATGTTAGTGTGTTTGTCTATGTTGGTGTGTCTGTGCGTCTGTGTCTGTATCTATGTTTGTGTGTTTGTCTATGTTGGTGTGTCTGTGCGTCTGTGTCTGTATCTATGTTTGTGTGTTTGTCTATGTTGGTGTGTCTATGTTAGTGTGTCTGTGTGTTTGTCTATGTTGGTGTGTCTGTGTCTATGTTGGTGTGTTTGTCTATGTTGGTGTGTCTGTGTGTCTGTGACTATGTGTGTTTGTCTATGTTAGTGTGTTTGTCTATGTTGGTGTGTCTGTGTCTATGTTGGTGTGTCTGTGTGTTTGTCTATGTTAGTGTGTTTGTCTATGTTAGTGTGTTTGTCTATGTTGGTGTGTCTGTGTCTATGTTGGTGTGTCTGTGTGTTTGTCTATGTTAGTGTGTTTGTCTATGTTGGTGTGTCTGTGTCTATGTTGGTGTGTCTGTGTGTTTGTCTATGTTAGTGTGTTTGTCTATGTTGGTGTGTCTGTGTCTATGTTGGTGTGTCTGTGTGTTTGTCTATGTTAGTGTGTTTGTCTATGTTGGTGTGTCTGTGTCTATGTTGGTGTGTCTGTGTGTCTGTGACTATGTCTGTGTGTTTGTCTATGCTAGTGTGTCAGTGTGTTTGTCTATGCTAGTGTGTCTGTGTGTTTGTCTATGTTAGTGTGTCTGTGTCTATGTTAGTGTGTCTGTGTGTTTGTCTATGTTGGTGTGTCTGTGTCTATGTTTGTGTGTCTGTCTATGTTGGTGTGTCTGTTGGTGTAAGTGGCATCACAACAAAATGTTTTGTGTTGAAATACATAAAGGAAAACTATCTCTTGACTTGTCTGTTGCTTTTTTTAAGGTATTATTATCATCTGACAGTGTAATAACACTTAATGACATTTTAACGAAACATTCAAATCGTTGCACTTTACACTGTCATAAACTGGTTTGACTATGTAATTGCACATGATATCTTAATGCAAAGTTAAAATCATTAAATCACTGTAGGAGGGAAATGGGAAATGTGTTATAAAGTCCTTTAGCAGTGTAGTTACACTTAACGACATCTTAATGAAAAGGACAACATTTATGACACAATTGTAATGGTTTTATGACAGCGAATGTCAAAACCATCCATATATGACGGTTTAATGTCGCTCTAAGATATGAAGCCAAACGTTTTGCTTAAGTTTGACAGTTAGGTCTGTTATGGCATGTTAATGACATGTTAATGACATGTTTTGTTGTCTTGGTTTATGTCAAGTTGTCATGACAAGGACATCTCAAACAATGTCACCTTTGCATCAAAAGTGACATAACTTACCGAATGACACTTAACGACAACTGTCATAAGTATTCATTGATATGTATGACAGCTGTCATGTCATGCTTATGACAATGTTATGTCAGCCTTATGAACACCCATTCAGGTAAAGTGTTATTGAATAAATTAACTGCTATTTTACGAATAGCTAAACAGGATTACTCTACTACTACTACTATTAGTCCAGGGCTGCGCCTTGTCACCAATCTTGTTTGTGGTCTTCGTGGACAGGATATCGAGGCGTAGTCGGGGGAGGAGGGTCTACAGTTCGGGGGGCTGCGGATCTTATCGCTGCTTTTTGCAGATGATGTGGTCCTGATGGCATCTTCTGTCTGTGACCTCCAACTCTCACTGGAGCGTTTCGAAGTCGAGTGTGAAGCGGTCAGGATGAGGATTAGCACCTCTAAATCTGAGGCCATGGTTCTCAGCAGGAAACCGATGGATGGCCCACTCCAGGTAGGGAATGTGAAGGAGTTCAAGTACCTCGGGGTCTTGTTCACACGTGAGGGGAAGATGGAGTGTGAGTTTGGCCGGAGAATCGGAGCAGCGGGGGCGGTATTGCACTCGCTTTACCGCACCGTTGTGACGAAAAGAGAGCTGAGCCGAAAGGCAAAGCTCTCGATCTACCGGTCAATCTTCATTCCTTCCCTCACCTATGGTCATGAAGGAGTCATGACCGAAAGAACTGGGTCACCGGTACAAGCGGCCGAAATGGGTTTCCTCAGGAGAGCGGCTGGCGTCTCCCTTAGAGATAGGGTGAGAAGCTCAGTCATTCGTGAGGAGCTCGGAGTAGAGCCGCTGCTCCTTTGCCTCGAAAAGGAGCCAGTTAAGGATGGACAGTTTTTTACAAATAATGATGAAAATTTTGAGGACAGTAAAGATGTGGTTCATAATTTCAATAAATATTGAAAGTGTGGGACCGAAACTGGCAGAAAAAACCCCAGATCCTTCAACATCTGGAGCTCTAAATGAAACATTAATCAACATTTGTGCAAATGGGTGACCACCAGTCATCTTGCTTGGACATTGTTTGTGGTGTCCCCCAGGGGTCAGTATTGGGACCAAAAGTGTTTATTCGTTATATTAATGACATCAGTAAAGTTTCTAAAATACTTAAGTTTGTTTGGTTTGCAGACGATACTAATATTTTTTGTACAGGTGATAATTTGCAGCAGCTTTCGGCTGAAATCAACTTAGAGTTATGTCAACTTATTATATGGTTTGATATTAATAAATTATCATTAAACTTCGATAAGACTAAGTTTATGTTGTTTAGAAATTGCAAAAGCAAAACAAATTTGCAAATCGAAATAGATGATGTGTCGGTGGAGAGAGTTAATGAAATTAAGTTTTTGGGAGTGATGATAGACCATAAGATTTGCTGAAAACTGCATATTAAATACATTCAGTATAAAATATCTAGAAGTATTGCGGTTCTCAGCAAAGCTAAACATTTTCTAAATTATGCTGCACTACATATTCTATATTGCTCACTTATTTTGAGTTACTGTGTGGAAGTATGGGGCAACAACTATAAAACCCTGCTGCGACCGTTATGCACATTACAAAAAAGAGCCATCAGAATGGTTCATAAGGCAGGATTCCACGACCATACTAACTTATTATTTATACAGTCCTGCTTCCTCAAACTGCCAGATCTAGAAGAATTTCAAACAGCTATGCTGATGTAAAAATCTATGAATAAACAAGTACCAGATAACATGCAAAAACTGTTTACTGATCGAGTGGGGGGCTATGATTACAGGGAAAACCTTAACTTCAGAACCTTGAGGGTTCGAACCACCATGAAGCGAATGTGCATTTCAGTCAGTGGTGTGAAGGTCTGGAATAAACTTCAAAAAGAGCTGAAGCAAAGTCCAAGCAAGACTTTGTTTAAAAAAAGACTCAAACTGGTGATTTTCAAGAGGGGAAGTGAATGGTATAACTACTCAGCACTATATATATATATGTTATATTGTATTTAGTATATATGGTGTATATGGTATATGGTATGGTATATATCTGTGTTAGCCCTGCGATTGGCTGGCGAACAATCCAGGGTGTACCCCGTCTCTCGCCCGAAGTTGGCTGGGATACACTCCAGCCCCCCCCGCGACCCTGTGTGCAGGATAAGCGGTTTGACAATGGATGGATCTTACAGTGGCATTTGTCTGGACTTTGAATGTGCAAACTGGTGTGCAATATCTTCAAAATCAAGGGCACTAACAAGTTCATGTTTGATGGCCAAGAGAGAACGTGCAGAGAGCCGTGTCTGTGACATTGTGGTCCTCAGCTCATTTTTAACTTGTTTCAAAACAGAAAACAACCTCTCACCCTCACAGTTAGACACCGGCAAGGTTAAAAACATTCTTAGTGCAACATAAACATTTGGAAATGTTGTCTTAGGTCCATGTCTCTCAAGAGCTTGCAGAAGCTGTACAGGTGAAGTCTCAAGTGCTTGAACTGAATAAGTTTGTCTGAGAAGGAACGATCCAGATCTGTCAATGGTGACATAATATGTTTCAACCTTAAATCTCTTGACTGCTATCAGTAAAAGCTACTTCACTGTCATCACCACACTCGTCTGCAAATGTCTTTCTTTTTCTCACACGTCGAGTGTCAAACTAGTAGTTTTGTGTGGCACTAACAGTGCGTGCGGCGTGCGGATTCTTCGAGCTCTGCAAACTGTTCTCGTAGAGCGCCAACATATGAATGCAGTGAGTGTAACCCCTGTGAGATGTCTTCTGCTTTCTATGTTTGTCGTGCTGGAGCTGTTAACTTCTGCAAAATATAACAGACACAAAGGAAATTGTGGACCTTCTTTTAATCCTCCATTATACTCACACAAAATACTTAGACAGTGATCGTATAGTTTTATAAGAACAGAACTTGACTACACAAGCAATACAATGAAACATATAACCAAAAATACATACAGGTTAATCAACTTAACATAACATACCTGTAAAATATAAAGGACACAAAGGAAATTGTGGACCTAGAAGGACGACATAAAATGGATGTTAGCTAGCTAAAAAAAAACGGACATTGTTGTTACAGACAATAAACCATATCACCAACTTAATAAAAACATGGCAACTTTAAACAAAGACAAAGGACATTTAAAATAATAAAGCTAGCTTCACCATAAATGAAATGAGTAAACATTTTCCACGGACATAAACAAAACCCGTTACCTTCTTTTAATCCTCCATTACACTGAGGATTACCCACAATCCGTCCTTTTTACGGTCCGTTTGTGTACCACTTTGTGGCAGTAGATGGCGTAGTTCAGCCAGTTTAGAAGGGTTTTAGCCATCCATTCTAACTATGTTACAAGAGCGCAGAAAGCCAAGAGCAGTAGCTAAATCTATATCGCTTCTTTGGAGTTGGTCGCTTGTTGCCTTAAATCTATGCAGTACCCGGTCCCACAACATAGTCATTATTACTGTCTCAAGTCTTAATTTAACTTTTATTGTTTATATTTTCACATATTGAAAGTGTTTGTATTTTTTACTCATATATCCAGATATATATGACCTTTTGAAGCTTTAAAAAAAAACGATTTCTCTTTCCTGTCCACATTACCGATGATGCACCATTATTATTTCCCTGGTTGTCTTGGCAACCGCCATTGACATCATAGAACGTGTCACTGTGTTCCGATGTGCTTTGTTGTTGGGTTCCATTTTGTCCCTCATAACTTCACTGGACTTCTTGAGAGCTGCACGCTTTCTGTTCTCAGTCCTGCATCCGTCCATAACCTTTGACCACTGACAATACAACGCTGTTTTCAAGTTTTATCGTGTACACAGAAGTATTTTACCCAACATTTAAATCAAACAGGAGAAATGGCTGAAGGATATACAACGAATCTGCCGGTTTCCAACCAGGGACCACCAGAGTCATCTGAACAGTTCAACGCAGAATATATGAGCCTGAGGGAGATCTGCGAAGTTCTTAAGTCTATGCGCATGAAAATTCACATGAGCGGAATAAAGGTTGCAGGATGGGAATGTTTGAAGGTTAAAAATGACAAGTATGACCATCACAGGCAGGAGGAAGGCATTGCTAGGAGAAAATGTGAAACCCTTCAAAAAGAGGTGAAGAATCTCCTTGTTAAGGTCAAAAATCATCAACATTTTGACTCAATCTACAGAGACCAAAAAGCAGTAAACGCAGAAATGTCTTCTAAACATCAAAAGCTGGAAGAAGAGGTGGACTTGCAGCAGAAAAGGTTGGCGCACTTAAAACGTGTGGAGTCAAACGCTGCATCCATAACACAGGAGAATGAGGAGTACGACCAAAAAATTAAGCTCCTGGAGACCACACTGCAAAAGGTTACCAATGAATGTAACCTTTTATCTGACTTCATGCCTTGTCACCAATCTTGTTTGTGGTCTTCGTGGACAGGATATCGAGGCGTAGTCGGGGGAGGAGGGTCTACAGTTCGGGGGGCTGCGGATCTTATCGCTGCTTTTTGCAGATGATGTGGTCCTGATGGCATCTTCTGTCTGTGACCTCCAACTCTCACTGGAGCGTTTCGAAGTCGAGTGTGAAGCGGTCAGGATGAGGATTAGCACCTCTAAATCTGAGGCCATGGTTCTCAGCAGGAAACCGATGGATGGCCCACTCCAGGTAGGGAATGTGAAGGAGTTCAAGTACCTCGGGGTCTTGTTCACATGTGAGGGGAAGATGGAGTGTGAGTTTGGCCGGAGAATCGGAGCAGCGGGGGCGGTATTGCACTCGCTTTACCGCACCGTTGTGACGAAAAGAGAGCTGAGCCGAAAGGCAAAGCTCTCGATCTACCGGTCAATCTTCATTCCTTCCCTCACCTATGGTCATGAAGGAGTCATGACCGAAAGAACTGGGTCACCGGTACAAGCGGCCGACATGGGTGGCCTCAGGAGAGCGGCTGGCGTCTCCCTTAGAGATAGGGTGAGAAGCTCAGTCATTCGTGAAGAGCTCGGAGTAGAGCCGCTGCTCCTTTGCCTCGAAAAGGAGCCAGTTGAGGATGGACAGTTTTTTACAAATAATGATGAAAATTTTGAGGACAGTAAAGATGTGGTTCATAATTTCAATAAATATTGAAAGTGTGGGACCCAAACTGGCAGAAAAAACCCCAGATCCTTCAACATCTGGAGCTCTAAATTAAACATTAATCAACATTTGTGCAAATGGGTGACCACCAGTCATCTTGCTTGGACATTGTTTGTGGTGTCCCCCAGGGGTCAGTATTGGGACCAAAACTGTTTATTCGTTATATTAATGACATCAGTAAAGTTTCTAAAATACTTAAGTTTGTTTGGTTTGCAGACGATACTAATATTTTTTGTACAGGTGATAATTTGCAGCAGCTTTCGGCTGAAATCAACTTAGAGTTATGTCAACTTATAATATGGGTTGATATTAATAAATTATCATCAAACTTTGATAAGACTAAGTTTATGTTGTTTAGAAATTGCCAAAGCAAAACAAATTTGCAAATCGAAATAGATGATGTGTCAGTGGAGAGAGTTAATGAAATTAAGTTTTTGGGAGTGATGATAGACCATAAGATTTGCTGAAAACCGCATATTAAATACATTCAGTCTAAAATATCTAGAAGTATTGCGGTTCTCAGCAAAGCTAAACATTTTCTAAATTATGCTGCACTACATATTCTATATTGCTCACTTATTTTGAGTTACTGTGTGGAAGCTATGCTGATGTAAAAAGCTATGAATAAACAACTACCAGATAACATGCAAAAACTGTTTACTGATCGAGTGGGGGGCTATGATTACAGGGAAAACCTTAACTTCAGAACCTTGAGGGTTCGAACCACCATGAAGCGAATGTGCATTTCAGTCAGTGGTGTGAAGGTCTGGAATAAACTTCAAAAAGAGCTGAAGCAAAGTCCAAGCAAGACTCTGTTTAAAAAAAGACTCTAACGGGTGATTTTCAAGAGGGGAAGTGAATGGTATAACTACTCAGCACTATATATATATATATATATATATATATATGTTATATTGTATTTAGTATATATGGTGTATATGGTATATGGTATGGTATATATCTGTGTTAGCCCTGCGATTGGCTGGCGAACAATCCAGGGTGTACCCCGTCTCTCGCCCGAAGTTGGCTGGGATACACTCCAACCCCCCCGCGACCCTGTGTGCAGGATAAGCGGTTTGACGATGGATGGATGGATTGATTTAATTTGGCAAACACATCTTACAGTGGCATTTGTCTTGACTTTCAATGTGCAAACTGGTGTACAATATCTTCAAAATCAAGGGCACTAACAAGTTCATGTTTGATGGCCAAGAGAGAACGTGCAGAGAGCCGTGTCTGTGACATTGTGGTCCTCAGCTCATTTTTAACTCGTTTCAAAACAGAAAACGACCTCTCACCCTCACAGTTAGACACCGGCAAGGTTAAAAACATTCTTAGTGCAACATAAACATTTGGATATGTTGTCTTAGGTCCATGTCTCTCAAGAGCTTGCAGAAGCTGTACAGGTAAAGTCTCAAGTGCTTGAACTGAATAAGTTTGTCTGAGAAGGAACTATCCAGATCTGTCAACGGTGACATAATATGTTTCAACCTTAAATCTCTTGACTGCTACCAGTAAAAGCTACTTCACTGTCATCACCACACTCGTCTGCAAATGTCTTTCTTTTTCTCACACGTCGAGTGTCAAACTAGTAGTTTTGTGTGGCACTAACAGTGCGTGCGGCGTGCGGATTCTTCGAGCTCTGCAAACTGTTCTCGTAGAGCGCCAACATATGAATGCAGTGAGTGTAACCCCTGTGAGATGTCTTCTGCTTTCTATGTTTGTCGTGCTGGAGCTGTTAACTTCTGCAAAATATAACAGACACAAAGGAAATTGTGGATCTTCTTTTAATCCTCCATTATACTCACACAAAATACTTAGACAGTGATTGTATAGTTTTATAAGAACAGAACTTGACTACACAAGCAATACAATGAAACATATAACCAAAAATACATACAGGTTAATAAACTTAACATAACATACCTGTAAAATATAAAGGACACAAAGGAAATTGTGGACCTAGAAGGACGACATAAAATGGATGTTAGCTAGCTAAAAAAAAACGGACATTGTTGTTACAGACAATAAAACATATCACCAACTTAATAAAAACATGGCAACTTTAAACAAAGACAAAGGACATTTAAAATAATAAAGCTAGCTTCACCATAAATTAAATGAGTAAATATTTTCCACGGACATAAACAAAACACGTTACCTTCTTTTAATCCTCCATTACACTGAGGATTACCCACAATCCGTCCTTTTTACGGTCCGTTTGTGTACCACTTTGTGGCAGTAGATGGCGTAGTTCAGCCAGTTTAGAAGGGTTTTAGCCATCCATTCTAACTATGTTACATGAGCGCAGAAAGCCAAGAGCAGTAGCTAAATCTATATCGCTTCTTTGGAGTTGGTCGCTTGTTGCCTTAAATCTATGCAGTACCCGGTCCCACAACATAGTCATTATTACTGTCTCAAGTCTTAATTTAACTTTTATTGTTTATATTTTCACATATTGAAAGTGTTTGTATTTTTTACTCATATATCCAGATATATATGACTTTTGAAGCTTAAAAAAAACGATTTCTCTTTCATGTCCACATTACCGATGATGCAACATAAGTAGTTCCTTGTTGCTTGGCAACGCCATTGACATCATAGAACGTGTCACTGTGTTCCGATGTGCTTTGTTGTTGGGTTCCATTTTGTCCCTCATAACTTCACTGGACTTCTTGAGAGCTGCACGCTTTCTGTTCTCAGTCCTGCATCCGTTCATAACCTTTGACCACTGACAATACAACGCTGTTTTCAAGTTTTATCGTGTACACAGAAGTATTTTACCCAACTTTTAAATCAAACAGGAGAAATGGCTGAAGGATATACAACGAATCTGCCGGTTTCCAACCAGGGACCACCAGAGTCATCTGAACAGTTCAACGCAGAATATATGAGCCTGAGGGAGATCTGCGAAGTTCTTAAGTCTATGCGCATGAAAATTCACATGAGCGGAATAAAGGTTGCAGGATGGGAATGTTTGAAGGTTAAAAATGACAAGTATGACCATCACAGGCAGGAGGAAGGCATTGCTAGGAGAAAATGTGAAACCCTTCAAAAAGAGGTGAAGAATCTCCTTGTTAAGGTCAAAAATCAGCAACATTTTGACTCAATCTACAGAGACCAAAAAGCAGTAAACGAAGAAATGTCTTCTAAACATCAAAAGCTGGAAGAAGAGGTGGACTTGCAGCAGAAAAGGTTGGCGCACTTAAAACGTGTGGAGTCAAACGCTGCATCCATAACACAGGAGAATGAGGAGTACGACCAAAAAATTAAGCTCCTGGAGACCACACTGCAAAAGGTTACCAATGAATGTAACCTTTTATCTGACTTCATGCCTTGTCACCAATCTTGTTTCTGGTCTTCGTGGACAGGATATCGAGGCGTAGTCGGGGGAGGAGGGTCTACAGTTCGGGGGGCTGCGGATCTTATC